GTATGTCCTGGCTGGCCGCGCTCAGCCCAGCTGGTGACCCCTGGGGGGGGTGCGGGGCCCTCCTTGGGGACCCCTGCCATCCCTCACTCAGGCTCAACTCCTTCGACTTCAGTTGCTACGCCCTGTGGCCTGAGCCCTCCAGCTGCACCCAGAACCCCTCATCTTTCCATGACATGCGTGCACACTGCCAGAGAGCCCGAGGATGGGACGTGTCCCCGGGATGGGCCTTGGTGCCTGCACCGTCAGCGCCACAGAACTGACCAGCTAGAAGGTCATGGTACTGGGAAGAGCAACTGGCCAGGGCGTCTGATCCCAGCACAGGAAACAGCAAACCGCCAGGCCCCGCTCCCCCCCGGGCGGGTACCACAGCCCCATCCATCACTCACAGCCGCCCAGAAAGCGATCCCAGCTCTGGGCAGGGACCCGGCCTGCCCTTTCCATGACCCCGGTGTCCATGTGCACAAGTTGTGGGTGCAGAAGGTACACTCACGGAGCCAGCTCAGCCTGCCAAGCCCACCCCGGGAGCAGCAGCGAGACGGCAGACGGCGGTGGTCCCCAGCTTGTAGCTCAGGCCCTGGCTGCTTCTAGGGTCTGCCCGAAGGATGAGGCCAGGAAAGCAGGTCACCCAAAGCCACAGAGGACAGCTCAGTGTCCACAGGAGGGCTGCCACCAGAACAGAGGCTATATCAGGTCTCCTCCAGACACTGTGTGTGGCGCCCCTCCCCCGGTGTCCCCAGCCCCCATGGCCACCACCCCCTCCCCAGGCAGGAAGGGGCCCAGATGCTCAGAGAAGGGCAAAGGGGGCCTGGCAGGCGTGGCTGACCCCCTAATGAAGCCATCGTACCACCATAATGAAGACCTCATGTACCTCCAGTGACACTTAGCAAATCCAGGCACAAATAAATAACCCAAGTCCAATTGAATTAACCTTCAACTGATCAGCACGGCTAAACAAATTATCCCGAGGCCCGAACGAGATTAAAAGGCCTGGCGCAGACTGGGATCATTCGGCGGGAGGGTTCATTGGCTTTAACGAGTTTAAGCCAAATCCCCGATGTTCTTTTTTCTGGTTTCAGGGTGCTCTGCTCCCTGAGTGCAGCCTTTGGGGGCCCATGGCCCCTGGGGGTGCTGCAGAGGGAAACCAGACACACAGCAGTGGGGAGAGAAAGCGGGACACCCTCTCGTGCAAAAGAGGCTGTTGCAGGACTGGTTCCTGGGGACGATGACAGAGCCCAGCCTGATTTCCCAGGAGACCAGCAGGTACTGGCAGCAGACACAGGGCTGTCCTTGTGGCCCAAACCCCCTGCAGCACCACCGTGAGCAAAGCCCACCTTCCTTTGGCCCCAGGCCCCCCTCCCAGATCCAAGGCCTAGAGTGGGGGGGGTTCTCCCTCCCCAGAGCAGCCCCTGCCCGCAGCACCACGCACGGGGACCCCACACACACGAGGACCTGGAGTCATCAGACTCACAGACACAGAGAGCAGACAGTGGGACTGGGGGAGCAGGCAGGGGTCCGTGCATCACGGGGACAGGATCTCCATGGGGGGATGGAACATTCTGGAGCTGGACATGAGGACGGTGCCCCTGAACTGAACGCTGAGAAATAGTTAAAGGGTTAAGTCTTATATTTATTTTATCACAATTAAAATTATCCAAAAAAAGCATGTGGCCCGTGAGCCAAGAGATAGGTCAGGAAGAATGAGGCAGGGTGTGTGGGAGTCCCCAAGCGGTTATCCACAGGGGAAGGAGGGTAGGGAAGGGGCTCTGGGGAGGGGGCCAGCAGCTACCAAGGGCGCACGGGGTAGGGAACAGGAGGCTGGACTGAATCCTGACCCCACAAAGCCCTGGGTCCCCTGCGCCACCACCCACACACTGGGGACCTGATCCTGTCTCCCTTTTCTCTGTGGCTCCCAGGAAGGTCAGAGCTAAACCTGAGGCCCCATAATAGCAACTCTGGGGGGAGCAGAGGCCAGCATGCACCCCTCTGTGTTTGTATCGTGGCCTTGACTGTCTAGTCTAGCTTACGATTCCTGCTCCTGATTTCAGATGTCCCATCTGAGGACTTACGTCCCTCCTGCTGCACACACCTGACAGTCCCCCCAGGGAACTTCTCGCCCCTCTCACAGGGTGGCAGCACCGGGTCTGGCCCTGGGGACGGGCTCAGCGGGTGCCCGTGACAACACCTTCAAGGTCTTTGTGGTTAGGTGACCGTGCCGCTGGGGGGAAGGAGACACCCAGATACGACAGAGGCGGACAGAGATGGGGACAGAAGGGGGAGCAAGAAGTTGAGAGGGGAGCGAGAAGGACAGAAGAAGTGAGAAAGCAGATGGGCTCCTCGGGGATCTGCCCCCCGAGAGAAGAGGCAGGCTGGAGGAACGGGGGGGGGGGGGGTGGTGGGAAGCGCCGGGGGAAGCAGAAGCCCCTCTTCCCCAGGGGGAGTGAGGACCACAGGACAGACACCAGGGTCCCTCCACCCACACAGGGCTCTGCAGGCCACAAGCGTTCTGTGGCCTCTGCTGCCGCCCAGAGGTGTTCGCTGGTAACACAGGCTCTCTCCGCCCAGCCTTTCCTGGAGTGCAGGCTGCAGCCCTCCTGCACCTCCTTCTGGGCCAAGACCCAGCCCAAACCGCCTGGGTTCTCCATGGGACTGTGGGCACGTCCTCAGGGCACAAGGCTCCCGGGCCACGGAGGTCATGAGCATGCTTCCGGCCCCATGTCCTTTCCTGGCTATGAGAACAAAATACAACAGGGTCCACGTGTGCCGATGGAGATGGGAAATGCCAGCACATCTGCACCCGCTGCCCCTGACAGCTCCTGACAGTGTCACAACCGGCCTTTCCCACCAGGCCGCAGACCCTGTGTGCCCAGGGCCACCCCACTGTGGCCTCCCTCGGGCGCCTTCCTCCTCCTTTCAGCCCTGATCTGCCAGTGCCGTTTCAGTGCCGACCTCTCTGCCGGGACCTGCAGCCACCCGCTCGCCACCTGCCTTCTCTGGGCAGCCCAGAGCCCTCACACCAGCTCCAGCTGCAAATGCTCAGCCAGTGGGAGCCTAAGAAACCTCTCTCTCCTGGACAGACGGACGACTGCAGCCCCTTCAGGGCATCAGGCAGGGCGGGCCCCAGCGGCGGCAGGAATCAGACCCGCGTGCCCCAAGGGGCTGTGGGTGACACAGTCCGGGCAGGGCCCTGCTGGCGCCGGTGGCAGGCCATGTTCTCCATGTGGGACCCGAGGCAGGGTGAGACCTCCCGTCGGTTCTGCCCGCCAGGAGCCATGTCTGTTTGCTCCCACATGGTGTTCACTCTTTCTTTCTGCGCAGACCCTGAGGCTGGTTTGCAAGGTATGGTTTCACGGGTGCAGACGAACCCTAAGAGTCACGTCAGCACAGCCACGGCCAAGGTGCAGATGGTCCCCTCTGGGGTCTGTTGTCAAAGCCGTCCCTGAATCCCAACCGGCCCCGGGAACCTGCTTTCGGTTCTAATAAGTGGGCCCTCGCGGAGCCCCAGAGGCGGTCGGGCCTCACAGACTCTGTGCTCCGCTCCTTGCTCTCAGCACAGGCTTTGGGGGTCCCCCCGTGCTGTTGCAGTCCCCACTAAGTCCTTCACTTCTTGCGAATACACAGCAGCCTCCCATTACATGGATGTACCCCTCTGTGTCGGCACGCCCCTGCCGAGAGCGCGTGGGGTGCATGGGGGTCTTCTGCCGGCTGTAGACCGAGGAATGGCCCACCACCGCTCCAGGAAACCGCTAACCCGCTCTCCAGAGTGCCCGTGCCATCCCCCGTTCCCGCCGGCCCTGCATGCAGCCGGTTCTTACTTGGCTCAGGTCCGTGTCTTGTTCCATCTGGAACCTTCCAGCAGGACTAAGTGTCTCCCTGTGTTATCAGTTCTGCATGCACAGAACTACAGGCAATTTGGACTCAAAATCCCCCCAAACACTTTGCGTCCAGCCCCCCAAATGCAGATATCCCCCCCACCATCCCACGAGTCCCTACCCCAGCCGACCGACCACCTGGTCTCCATTCCCCTGAAAGGGAACATACTCACTACCTCCCGGGCACGGCCCTGGAGTTTCTGGTCGGCATGTCCTCAAGCCGAAGTCTGCCCTCCTCGAGCCTCCACCTGGAGCAATGGAGCAGTCCACAGACGTGGAACAGGCTTCAGAAGGTGGGAGGCACCTGGGGGCCACGTGGCCCATGTGCCCATTTTACAGTTGAGGGTTTGCAGCTGGAGGCCCGGGGGAGAGGAAGGGAATGGTCCAAGGCCACAGGTGAGCCCACCCTGGAGGCCTGGGTTCCCTCGACCTCGTCCTCCTGGCTCCTGAGCCCCAGCCCCTCGAGCCGAGGTGTGACAGACCTCCCAAATGCAGCCCAGTCCAACAAGCGTGTTTTGAGGCCCCGTGGCACTCAGCACTGGCTTCCCTCTTCTGGTTGGAAACAGAGTGGGAGCTGGGCCTCCATGCGGACAGGCGAGCTTTGCGACAGGTTCCATGCCAGGGGAAATAACCACTTAAAATATTGAAAGAAAGGCTTCCCGAAATTGGGCATGGATTAAGGTTTCATTTATTAAGGAGCTAAACAAATACGTGGGTGCAAGGCCATTGTCAGCATTTCTAAGGAGGCCAGAAAGTCTCGCTCTGGGAATAGAACGTTATACCGGCCAAGCTTTACTGAGTTCGAGGGGATCAATGCGCCGTCCAGAGCTCCCAGATCCGGGTGGGCAGGGAACCGGATCCAAAAACAAGGGGTTTTGTTATGTTTACTGTGCGGTGTTAAGTGAAAACAGTCCCACCGACATAAAACTCCGAAGCTCGGGACCGGGTAGGCCACACAGCCCTTGCCTCCCATGGCTGAGCGGAGGCTACACCCAACAGGAAACACCACCGGCCTCCGCGGGAAAATGATGTTGCTCCTTCTTACCCTGTGCTGCAGACATTCCAGAAAAGATCTTTAAATGCTCCCTGGGAAGAGGATTTATCCCCTTTCCGGATGAACCGCTCCCCAGATCCTTATAAACTGGACTCAGTTTTAATGATATTCGTTAATTTCCCTTGGGAAAAATTTGAATTTCACAGACACCCGGAGTTTTGTTTTTGTAATAAAATATACGCAATTGTCGATTGGTTGTCTTTAATCTTTTTCTTTTTTTCTCTGAAAACCTTGGTGGCCTGTATTTCCCTCTGCTTGGATAAGCCTAGTTTGGAAAAAAAGAATTAATTGTTCATTGTTTTTCCAGAAAACCGGGTGCTGCTGAAGGTAATTTCTGTCTTATGGAGAACCCTAATTAGAACCGCTTCTGATTCCGTGCCACTGTGTGTTCGAGGGTGTCCGTGACCGTCGTGCATGGCGTCACTCCCTGCTGGGGCACAGAAAGGGCAGGCATGGGCTGGGGTAAATGCGGGACCCCCAGGGCAGGGCATCCCCAGCCCTGGCGGCAGCAGGGACACCACTCAGATTCGCAGACAGCCGTGAGGTGGACATGCCCATGTGCCTGCCCTTGCCTCCCCTGGGGCTTCTCATGCCCACTCTGTCCTAACCCTGCCCGGGCATCCTCCAAAACACCACCACCTTTCCCCAGGGACAGGATCAGGGCATGAGGACCTCACAGCCTTGGCCGCATCAGGGCCTGCAATTAGATGTCTCCCGAGCCGTCTTGGGGGCATTAGGGGACCAGGTAGATGGGTGAACATGGCCATGTGATGACGTCAGCTCCCCACAAACGCCCCCAGTGCAGAGGCCACCAGTCGCACAAGGTCCCGTGAAGGGAAGGCAGCCCGGGTGTCCACCAGGCCCTTGCATGTGACCTCGTTTAATCCTCCCAGTTACCAAGCAACCAAGAGCTGGTCTGTCCAAAAGAGAGAAGCCCCCAGTGCCAGAGGGGCATGCATGACCCCGGTCCACACTGTGCTGAGTGGATGGAGCCAGCCACAAAGGCCACGTGGCTTGGGGTGGGGGCTTGCTGGTGTTGTCCACATGGGCAAATCTGTGGAAACACAAAGCGGGTGCATGGTTTTCAGGGGGTTGGGAGGGTGGGGCGCTCAGATAGTTTGTTGGGTCCGTTATGATCTCCTTTGACGTGATTGCCGACAAGGACTTGCTGACTCTCAGGTGTGGGAGGAGATGCTCGTACATGAACTCATTTCCCCAAGTTTCCACAGGGTGGTTGGTTCAGGGACAGGCACGTGGCTCAGGCTGGTCTAGGGAGACTGGCCTGGATGTTCCCGGGGGATTGTGAGGAAGAAAGCGATAGCAGTTTCAGAGTTGAGAGATGGAGAGAATTGTCGGAGTGTCTGGGACTTCCCGGCTGTCCAGTGAGCCTGTCTGTCCTCCTTTGGAGCAAAGGTGTCTGTCCCCTCTGCCTGGAAGAACCCTAATGGAAACACCTCCCCTCATGCAGTCCTAAGTCTCCACCGCCTCATGGGGGTAAAATGCGTTTATCTAATGCCGTGTCTCGGGCCTGCATCACAGGCATGATCTCCAGCTCTCCGAATCCCCGGGTCCTCTTAGGAGACTGGCCGGGACACGTGAGAGGGGCAATCATTTCCACAAGTAACACCTCCACCTGTCACGCCGGCTCACTGCCAGTGTAGACACTGCTGTGTCTACGAGCCCCTCCCTTGGGCAGACCCCCAAGCCACAGCAGAGTCCCTCACAGATGGGGTTGGGGAGGGCGTGGACAGCAGAGACCCTCCCTCTGGCAGACTCGGGGACAGCAGCTCAGAGAGCCTCCTGCAGGCCTGGAGCGTGCAAGCCTGCGGGTCAAGGGTCTCAGAGTCTCCGAGGCTGATTTGCTTTCATGCCAGTAACAACTTGCTGCCACATTCCTCACCCGGCATGTGGCAGCAAGTTGTTACTCACCTGATGATGAAAGGACAGATGATTAATAATAAAGGTAATAAATAATGCACAGATATGTAAGTAAGTATGAAAATACGTAAAGTCAGAGCTAATTCCATAAAGCTCCGGGAAATCACGGCACACGCGCCACCTCACTCACTCCTGCCAGGCCGGCACACTCCATTTCTGAGCCAAGAAGCTGAGGCCCACGGGGAAAGTTGCCCCAAGGCACCGTTAGTAAGGGCCAAGGGGGTAGATTCCGGAAACTTCCAAGGCTGACGTCTTAGGCACATGAGCCCACGGAGGGAAACAGAGTCATCACAACACAAAGCATTTCCCAAATGCACTGACCGTTTACAAGACCGGGCTCCCTTGAAATGTCCCTCCGTCTCCCCCACCCCACGCACAGGCACAGAGCTGCAAGTTCTGGAAAGCACACTGTGAGGCTGTAGGCGAGCGGCGCATCAGGAAAGACGCGAGATTTCAGAAAGCTGGTGAAGGTCGATACTGGGGAACGTGGCGGCAAGTGTGGGAGGGCCTGGTAGTGCCAGACAGGCAGGCGGCGGGGCCGGCTGGTGAGAGGACAGCATTCCAAGGGCAGACGTGCGTATCACAAGATTAGGAGAGGCTCTGGGGTAAATGGATGGTGCCCTTGGACCACCCTCTTCCCTACACAGCTGGGAATGCTGCTGTCGAAGGATTTGTTGGAAAAATTAAGAACCTGCCAAACCAACGCTTGGTTCTTTGGTGGCGCAAATTAACAGAGGATGGCATTCATAACCTAGAATTCCTTGAATACAAGACAATTTCAAGATATTTTCTTTGGTTGCCACTTTTTAAGATAAATTCTCGAACTCTTCTGCCCCACCGGTGACACTATCGCTACTTAGCTCTCATTTTAAGTGAACTCACTTAAGGGAATTCGCCTCCCCCTGGAGAACGGCCAACTGTAGGCAATGAGCTGGGCCCCGTTACTCTAAGTGCCCACGTCCTGCCCACACATCCACTCGGGCTGCCAGGAAGCCCCTCCGAGACTTCCCAGCTTCTTTCCTTCATATGCAGCCTCTCCCCCAGATCTAGACCAACAAACAAGCGACAGACACTGACATAACTGCTTAAGTGTCATCAAGACACCCGCCACTCTGCTCTTGCCCATCTTTTATGGTGAGAACTTTATGTCAGAGTTGGGTTTGGGGGGGGGCGGGGGGGTGTCAAACTTGTGTCTATTTGCATAGAGAATGCATGAATATGTGAACAGCAGTAAACTCGCCTTTGGAATGTTTCCAACCGCAGAGCAAGGAATTGGCCATTTGCTTTGAGGTGTGTGTGGGTGGATGTGGGTTTAAATTTAGCCCCAACAAAAACACTCTCCAGAGAAATTGATACCCTTCCTCCTTTTTGAGTATTGGCACCTGGAAAGTCATAATCTTTCCCTCTGTGAGCCTGCTGCAAGAAAGCTCAAAAGCGGGTTCCTTTTGATTTTTATTTCTATTTTGATAATGTTTTGTATACATGCCTTTTATTTTAAGCCACCAGAAATCGTTTTGGAAGGCACATGCTTCATTGGACTTGACACGGGTTGTCTAAGGAGTCATTAAATCACTAGAAAAGGGAGCAAAGATTAGGGATGCCAAGGCTTCCTAAAGGGCTCAGTGGGGTGGGCAGACCAGGTGGAGGGGAACCACACCCCCGCAGGGGCTGTCAGGAAACTGGAGGGCAAGGCCTCTGAGTGTGGGGTGCTGAAGGGCTGTCACTCACAGGGCCTGCAGGCTCAAGCTACCCCAGTATCAGTGCAAGACCCTCACCCTGACAACACACTGCCATCGTGGAGAAAGGATGAGCCCTCACGGGCTGTCAGAGGTGGGGGTGGACCAGACATCCTCCTGCCACAAGAGCCACCCTGGTCCCTTCTCCCCCTATCTGGGCACCTGGGCGCAGAGCCCTCAGACCAGAAACCCAGGGCAAGCAACTGAAGCCCGTATCCAGCCCTTACCAGCTTTAGGACCCGAGGCAAGCTTTCCCAACCTGAACAGCCTGTCTACAGGACACTTTGCACAATGCCTGTCACCCACCTCAGCCTGAGGAATCTGATGGATGGGAGCTGGAAGGGTGGCTCAGATGGACCCCCAGGGTTGGGGCCCACGGGAGAGTGGGATGGAGGGCTCGCGCGTGGGCGCGCGCGCGCGCGCACACACACACACACACACACACACACACACACGCAGAGCTGGGTGCCCCCGGGCAGCGGGGCGGAAGGACTGCCCTGCAGACTATCCCGGGAGAGTGGGGAGGGTTCGCCTCCGCCCTGCAGCTCGCCCCAGGAGGGCTGGGGGCCCCGGGAGAATGGGATGGAGGGCTCGCCCCCCACCACGGGCCTCCCTCCCCCTGCAGACCGCCCCCACCCCTGCAGACTACCCCGTGAGAGTGGGGAGGGCTCGCCTCCGCCCCGCAGCTCGCCCCGGGAGGGCTGGGGTCCCCGGGAGAGTGGGACGGAGGGCTCGCCCCCCCACAGGCCGCCCCCGCCCCGGAGCCCTCGGCCCCGGCCTAGCCGTGGGGCCACCGCGCCGTCCCCGCATCCCCGCCCGGGTCAGCAGGACGCCCCGTGCCCTGGCTCCGGGATGGGACTCCCGCCGGACACACCCAGGTCCCTGTGCCCGCTCTCCGTGGGGCGACCTCCGCACTGCTCCGCTCCCACAGCCCCAGGGTCGCCATGTGGGGTAACGAATCCACAGCCAGGCAGCCCCCCCGACCACCGAGGACACCCCGCGGGAGCAGCCAGAGGCCGGGTGGCCGAGACTCGCAGGTGGGGGATGCAGCCCCTCGCCCAGAACAGCCTGCCCCTCTCCGCAGCGGGGAAGGGCGCCGCTCAGGAGCCAGAGGCCCCGCCGGGACCGGAAACCCCCAAGCACACTTCCGGTGGAGGGGGCCGCAGGGCCGGTGGGCGGGGCCCCTGCGGGGGCGGGCCCGCGTCGCCCACCGGGCGTCACTTCCGGGCGCGGCGCGGTGAGCGCGGGCAGCATGGCGGGTGGGATGGGTAGCGAGGGCGCCCCGCGGGGCCCCCGGCCTCCCGCCGCCCTCTGCCCTTAGCCCGCGCGGGGGGTGCCTCCTTGTCCTGCGGGGGCGGTCGTCTTCCCAAGCGGAAGGAGAAGCTCAGAGGGCGGCGGGGGCGCGGCCACCTGCTGGAGCCTGGGCTTGTGCACCTGCGGGAGCCTGGGCTTGTGCACCTGCGGCGGGTGGGCGTGGAGCCTGGTCCCGGCACAGAGACGGGCGAGTGCCCCGACGGCCCGCCTTCTCGGCGCAGCCCGCACGTCTGCACACGCGCGCCCTGGAGCGGCTTCTGAGGGCTCCCGGTGAAGGCGGCGGGCACGCGCGGGCGCCTGCTCGGGTGGGTTTGAGCGGCTGGGCGTGCTCGTGCCTCTGTGCGAATACCAGGCGGTGCTAATGCTGGAGCACGAGCACCTCCGACACGGTTTGAGTGACCTTTTTTTCCTCTCTTTGCTTGGTAAACATTTAAGTGCCACTGAAAAGACCCATCCATGGAAGGCAAACCCTTGCTGACTTCCAAACAGAAGACGGAAGTGGTGTGTGGGGTCCCCACGCAGGTGGTCTGCACATCCTTCAGCAGTCATATTCTGGTGGTGGTGACCCAGTTCGGGAAGATGGGTACCCTGGTCTCCCTGGAGCCCAGCACCGTGGCTGGTGACATCAGCAAGCCCGTGCTCACCACCAAAGTCCTTCTTGGGCAGGACGAGGTAAAGTGGTGGGAAGGGGTCCCCACGCTGGAGGGAAAACTGCTTGTGTGGCTGCGGTTTGTGAGTAGGGGCTGGAGCCCACAGGCTCCACACTGTTTTCTGAGGCCTGTGCAGCTGTGAGGGCACCTGCCTGCCCCTGGTGCATGCTTTCCCCAGCGTATCAGTGTTTTACCTAGCAGAGAGGCGGTACTGATTTTGTAAGATTTGACCCTCTCGTGCGACCTTGGAGCCGCTGAGATTTGACAGACCCCACCCCAGCCCTGTAGAATACCTTCCATGATTCCTTCTGGATGACAGCCTGTTGGAAGAGACCAAGGAATCAGAAGGCACCAAGGAAATGAGTGTAATGGTGCCTCTCTAGCGTTTTGTTTAGGACTGGAGTGTTCTGGAGTCGGTTGAACACTAAACCAGTGTTGCATTGAACTTACATGGAGGGGGTTGATTATTGGGGGTGCAGGAAGTCAGGAGGGTTCCTGAGGGACACTCTGTGAAGGCACTAAGGGAAAACAGATTTGTCACAATTAAAATGGTTTTTCTCCTTCCCTTTACCAGCCTCTCATCCACGTCTTTGCAAAGAACCTGGTGACGTTTGTGTCTCAGGAGGCTGGAAACAGAGCAGTCCTCCTGGCCCTGGCCGTGAAGGACAGGAGTGTGGAGGGGCTGAAGGCCTTGAAGGAGGTGATCCAGTCCTGCCAGGTGTGGTGACCCTGGAGCCAGCAGCCGCGCCTGCTACTCAGCGAGCCAAGGGGACACGCGGATACCCTCTCGATATGGAAACACTCCCTCGGTTAGGCAGGAGGAGCAGCTCTGGCTTAGCTCTAGAAGCCAGAGGAAATATGCACGTCCCAGGCAGACCCGTACTTTGGGCGCTAACATACCCGCGGATGGAGGAAAGCTGAGGATTGTGTCTTGGGGGTTTGTGAACGGTTTTTACTAGGGTCCAAACAGCTGCTTGTATTCAAGACTGAGAGATGAGTCATTAGGTTGGAGTCCTGGCCCTCCGTGTGCAGTATCTGTCGTTGAAGGAAATTTTTTTTATTCACAATAAATGCCTATCCCCAAATAACTCACCAGCCTTCCTGGCGATACTGAGAACTAGCGTCCCACGGTGCAGGCTCGGTTCAGCACACTACGCGGAGGTGGGAGGAGACCTTGTTTGGCAAGGTTCACATGCTCTACACACTTCTTTTGCTCCTCCTTCTCTGACTTCTCTGGACAGCTATGAACTTCCATTCCGCAAACATCTCTTACTGTCCTGCTGCGTGACAGGTCCAGTGAGGTGCTGGCTTCGGGATGGCGTTTGCCCCTGCAGACAGCAGCTCGGTCCCTCTGGGCTGGTCCTCATCCCCCACTAGCCACAGTGGCGTGTTGCTGTCCATGTTCCGTGTGACTGTGAGTCCACCGCACAGGATTGGAGACCAGAGAGGATGCGGGCTCAGGGTCTGGAAGCTGGGGTCCCAGTGTAAAGAGCGGAGCCCAGCTAGCTTGGTCAGTGGAGTGTGCAACTCGATCTCGGGGCTGTGCGTTCTGGCCCCACGGTGGACATAGAGAGGACCTAAAAATAAAATCTTAAAAGAGATCTCTGTACAGAAAACACTTTGGGTGGCATCCATGTCCTCATAAGATCAGAAGGGGATGTTTTTATTTGGTTTCCCTCAGAATCAACAGCTTCTGAGACCCTGAAGTTCTTGACTTTAGAAACTCCTCTCCAAGAGGCGATTGATAGGACTAGTTCAACTTGCCAGTCTGGTCTAGAGGCAAGCATGAGTTTGCTGAAGATGAGACAGAGGGAGAGTTTTCAAGGGCTCATTCTGTCAGCACACAGTGCCCATGCAATGTCACCATCAGCCCTGTCCCACTGGGATCACAGACTGGCTGACGGTGACCGCAGGGGTCACCCATGGGAATCCTGCCAACTTCCCAGAGTGGGTGCCGATGCTTGAGCAGGGAAGGCCCCTCATGCTGCTGCTGCAGGGAGCCTGGGTGACCAGGGGAAACAGGCAAGCCCGTCCCTGAGAGACACAGGGCTCCTTTGTGGCCAGCTCTGCCCCACCTCCCGACCTCTCAGGCAGACTGCATCCAGCCTGGCCGCTCCTACCCCACCTGTGTCCACACTGCCACTCCCCCGGTTAGATTCTGGCCCCCAACGCCACTTGGTGGGTCCCTCGGCAGGACTGGGACCAGGGCCAGGTCTAAGGACACAGGAGCCGACTGAAGAGAGGAGGAGACGTCCACACACATGTGGACCCCCAAGGCCTGGGGTGTCCCGGTGGGTGAGGAGGACCTCCCCCCGCCCTCCAGCAGAAGCAGAGGCCTGGTGTCCTCAGATTAATACTTCAAAGCAATAGTTATGCAGTGCTCATCTAAAAATTAGGTGTTTGTGCTGTGGGATCACGACTCCTCCCATCACACAAGCAGGGAGCCCGAGGCACGGAGAGGGTCCCAGTCTGAGTCTGGGTTCAGAGTTGCAGCTTTCGGTGTTCTGGTTTGGTCCCTAAATTTGTCTCTATGGGACTAGCACACCTGCCTGTCACAGTGACCAGGCTCAGGGTACAGCCTTTGTTGCATGTACCCTAACTGTCCTCGCTCGGACCCGGGAACCTCACTCTTCTCGTCATCCATGTGTTCCAGAGACGGAAATTGAGGCAGCATCACCGAGCTGCCCCGGCGGAGCCCGGACTTGACCCCGGGGCACAGGACCTCTCACTGCTGCCAGCTGGCAGCCTGACCGTGTGAAGGAGTGACACTCCCATCCCTGGCTGCCACCCTGAAGGAGAGGCAGTTGGGCAGAGGCATGGACACCACCTGGCAGGGGGTGGTGGAGCCGGCATGGAACTGAGAGTGGGGCCCCCAGGACTTTCTCCACGCCGCACCCTTACAGCTGCCGGAAGCTGTCTGGTGGCTGGTGGAAATCACAGCCCGGCACTACACGCTCCTGTCCCTGAAGCTGCATGCTCCTTGGCCTTATAAATGCAGGCATGGGATGGGGTGGGAAGGTGCAGGGCCCTCGGCTTCGGCTGCCACTATTCAGGAGGAGCCATCGGTGAAGCCGCAGCTCCCACAGGCAGTGGCTGGTGCCATGCAGATTTATTCTTGTACATGGCGCTTAACCAGCGATCAGACTGTCATCACACCTTCCAGCGATCCGTAGGCCCACGGAAGTAAAAGACGGGGTCTCATCTGCAGGCCCCCCAGCCCAGACTACCAGGGGCTCCTCTGTCAAGGTCACGCCCTTGGACCTCCAGTGCCACCTGCCCCGTGCAGTTCTCCGCCGAGCTGCGCACGGTGGCCCCCCAGACCCCGTCCCTTGCACGCCCTTCCTTCTTCTTAGTGGATGTAGGGATGTGGCTCAGAGCCGAGGGCGAGCGAGAGAACCCAGGGAGGGTGGCCACTGTAGGCAACCTCTCCAAGCGGTTTCTCCAGGGCTTTGCAGCCCCCGAGCCTCCCAAACCAGTTAGGACAAGGAGCCAGTGGACTAAGACAGCCACATGCAGGACCGCTGAGCTGCTGAGCGTCTCAGTGCCTCGGAGTGATACTGGCAGTCAGGAGGGGCCACGCAGTGAACGACTAGGATGCCCAGGGCATGTGTGCAGTCAGAGGGCCCTGAGTGACCAGAGATGGACTGCAGGGAGGCGCTCAGCCCCTGCAGCTTCATGGTCTGAACCCGAAGCAGACAGATGGGTCTGCAGGGCGGCGGGGAGGGAGGAGGTGGGCTCAGTGGGTAGTGAGGCTCCACTGATTCCGAGAGATCGTGACGAGATGGTGGAAACCCCTCTCCTGCGGGAGCAGCTGGCGGCGGGCCATCCTCTCAGTGGCTCCACGTCTCTTGGGGAGGCCACTCGGAGCCCCTGTGTGGGGTGCTCAGAGCCAGGAGCCGTCCCTCTGTGAAGGCAGGCAACCCCCTGTCTACCCCTCACTGCACCGGGGCAGGGGTGGATCAGACCACCACCCACACGGATGGAGAGATGCGGCCACTCAAGGCTACACCCGGACGTCAGAGACTCCAAGGCTGGCTTGTACCCCGTACCAGACAGTGCACGACTGGAGGGATAGGAGGGAGGCCCAGGGTGTGGGCAGGGCACAGCAGAAGGTGTGGTCGGGGCTGCACCCCGCCTGGCAGGGCCGGCCTGGTGAGGTGGGCGGTGGCAAGGAGGTGTTTTCTGGGACCAGGGAAAGGCCGGCACCTCCGCCCCCCAGGAGCAGCAGTGCCTTGGACCAGCCCAGGCTGCTGTGAGGAGGAGCAGCGGAGGTCTAGAGGCTGCACATCGGGGCTGGACCCCCACCCCCACCCCCCGGGGCCTGGAGCCCTGAGCAGAGCAGCCTGAGGGGCCTGACCAGACAGCTGACTGAGCCACCAGAGAGGTGAGCACAGGCGCGCATGTGTGTGCAAGTGTACACACCCACAGGAGGGGTGGGGTCCAGGCCGGGGTCCCATTCACTCTAGTGGGGCAGGGATTCCTGGAGGAAAAATCTTGCACTGTGAAATTCTGTGAGTCCAGGCCTCTCTGCCCCACCCCCTTTCCACCCAAGATGACAGGGCCCTGCCAGGCCCTGGGATACCACCTGGTAACCAAAAAGGGTCTCAGGGCTGCACCCCTGCCCCAGCCCCACATGGAGGGCTGCCCCCGCAGACACACCCAGGGCTGGCAACTGGTTCTGGGACAGCAGGCAGGTACAGGCAGGCTCCAGGGACACAGCTCCTCTCTGGGGACGGAGGCCTGGGGGAAGGAGGTGGCCCAGGGGAGGGACACAGGCTAGGAATGGGCAGTGCAGAAGGGACAGAAAGCCCCAGGAGGGAGTAAGGTCTCCAAGATCCCACAGTGGGGTCCCGCCGGGCTAACCGGCCTAGAGGCCGAGAGAAGCCCTGGGACAGTGATCTGGCCAGCAGGACAGCAGGTTGACTGAGACGGCTAGTGCCGCAGAGTGGTCCTGGGCCTCAGTGACCTTGACTGCAGAGCAGTGCTGGGCCACACTGACCCGGACCTACCTTTAAGCAAGGGACGGATGCTGACCCGCTGCAAGTGGGGTTCCAGGTGCAGGGGACACTGAGGAAGGTCACAGACACCGTGAGGGCCACGTCAGATTCCCAGCCCAGTGTGTCCGAACCAGGGCCCTGCTCCTGCAGCTCTGGGGCCCAGGACCCGGCTTGCCTACCACACAAGGAATCCCAGAACTGGAGCTGGAGGGATCCATGGTCCCCGCTGCGGGCCCAGAGGAGGGGAGAAGGGGCTTGGGTTCCCCAGGATGTAGGTTCCTTCCATGGCCTGCAGAGGCCCTGGGGCCCCACCGCTGCTCCCCACTTCTCCCAGCTCCCACCTGAGTGGCTTAAAGAACTGAGCACCCAGGACCCTTGGTTGACAGTGGCCCTGGGCCAGTCACCCCCAGGCCCTTGGCCACAGTGGCTATTGGTTAAGTCAAGGGCCGTTGCAGGTGCCGGGACCAAAGCTCCCCAGATGACAGCAGGAGGGCACCCCTGGAGAGCCAAAGGACCCTGGGGGTCTGGCCTTGGGAAGCGTAGTGTCCTGATGCCCCCACCGTCCTCCCCTAACTTGTCTCTGCCTGCCCAGGGTGGGGGGGTGGCGCACTGGACTGGGCCAGCGGCAGGAAAAGAGCCACAGGCTCCCAGAGATGTCCCCAGATGGAAGGCTGGCTGAGAAGGGGGGCCCTGTGGCAGGGTGTGTCTGGAAGGAGCTCCAGGGCCAGCAGAAAGGCCAAGGAGCCATGGGCATTGGGTCACCAGTAGTGAAAGGCAGGCGTGGGGATGAGGAGACAGGTCTGACAGCAGCCACAGCGTCTCAGCCACCCACGCCCCAGCTACAACCTGCCCAGAGCCTCGTCACCTGGTCACCACAAACAGGGGTCAGAGGCCCCAGCTCCCCGGACCCGGGCAGGCAGGTCTGTCCTGTGCTGGGCTTGGTCAGCGTCCAGCCCCAGGCAGGGAAATCAGGCCGGGCCGGCCCGGCCACCTCTGCTGAGTGCACATGGGCCATGACACTGGCTGCTGGAGGCAGGGCCAAATTCGGGCAGGTCAGCTCTCCTGCGCCTACCGCCCGGTGACCCCGGTGC